TAGCCTATGTAAAATGCATGCGCCGCCTAGGGACCAATGTTGATATTGGAGTCAGTTCCAATTCATAGTAACCCTATACAGGGTTTCCAAGAGTGGTTCGTGGGTTTGGACTGCTTACCTAGCAGTTAGTGCAGTTATCAATCTAGTGCTTTTCCTACAGTGCAACACCAGGGCTCACACCCAGGGACCACTGCTAGACCCCAAAGTCAACAATATAATTCAGACCATTTATCTCTGGCAACAATATTATCACTGGTAAGTCTTTGGAAGTGGGGGAGACTATAGACAAATTCATAAAAGGTATATACAACATTTTTTAATTTTCAAAATTACTTACAAAAATTAAAAAATACTAGCATGTCCATCAATGGAGGGAAAATGTGTTCTTTTAATGATTTACTCGTAAAGTTGTTATACTGGGCAGCAATTTTTCTTCTGAGTGCTAAACAGGAGTGTGGAACAGATCTGTAAGAAATTGTGAAACAAACAAGATTTTCAAAGTCAGTCAAAGTCTTGTCTTGGTTTGTTTTTTTCTTAAGATCTAGATCACATTATAGATACAAATACTGGGCATTACAGGTTTAAACAAAATCCTTTATAAACTTTATGGAATGATCTATAGTACAGATCAGGAGTAGGCATTAAAGGGGAACCAGGTAAACAATGCAAAAAAGCAGGGCCCCACCCAACTCCTGAAAATCAAGGGCTTGACGGGGAGAGGAGAGGGAGGGATAACAGAGGCACTGGAATCAGGTTTATTCCCTTAGTGTAGCCCCATTGAAGGGTGAGGCTGGTCCCCAAAGTCATCAAGAAAGAATTCAGCCTAACAGTTGCCACAGTTTTTAACTGTATATCCATTTCATGCTAGCTGTATTAGCTATTATTACTATCATTAATCTCAAGCAGTTAGCAAATAATCATTTGATCCCACTCTGAGCCAATGAGAGAAGAGCCCCACTTCTCATGTAACACCTAGGAACTGCGTGGGGAAGCTAGAGGCCCAGGAGGTGGGAAGGGCTTATGTAGGACTGGGGCTTAGTGTGGGAGAGGGATACAGTAGGTGGTACATATCTGGCTTCTCTTTCAGTTCCCTGAGTCACAAGCACATAAACCAAGAGTCATCAGCAAACAAGCAATGATTTGTTCATGTGAGGTCACTAATGCCGCCTCAGTCTCTAGCCACATCTCTCATCAGGGTAGAGTGGATCTTAGCTGGGAGACGGGATAAGAGCAAAGAGATACAGGAGGCCAAGGGTACCATCTCTGGTTTTTGCCCATATCATCCACTAAATAAATCCCTTTTCCTATTATAAATGCTCAAAGTTAAAACTGCTCAATGTAATCCAGTCATGAGGGGCTGGCTAGGAAGCATTTTTGATGAATTACTTGCCTCTGCCCTGATTTCTATGAGAGACTAGAGGTAATTTGGAAGATACCTTTTACCTTTCCTTTGCAATGAGGAGATCAAAAGGCGAAGGTCACACAGCCAGGGAATGGTAGAGCCACGGGTAGACAGGACTATCTAACCCCGGGGACCATGACGAACTCCATGAGCCAGTATAGTCCTGTTGAATTCTATTAGACACCCATGATTGGGAAACTCAGCCTCAGGTACAGGCCTTGTCTAGAAAAAGTCTGCTCTGAGAGTGTGCTGATGTAGAAGCTCACTACCACCTTTGCTAAGAGACCTGGTGATACAGTGCTTAAAGCACTCAGCCACTAGTCAAAAGCTGTTTGAACTCACCAGCCACTCTGAGGAAGAAAGACAAGATTTACAGTCTTGGAAATCCTATGAGTCAGTTCTACTCTGCCTTATAGGATTGTTATGAGTCCGAATCAACTTGAAAGCAGTGAATTTGGGGTTTATTTCCTTTGCAGGAAAATTCCAGAGGTCATCAGTTCATATCCACCAACTACTTCATGAGAGAAAGCTGTGGCAGTCTGATTCAGTACAGACTATTGTTAAGTGCCGTCGATTTGGTTCCAACTCATAGAGACCCTATAGACTACAGCCTTGGAAATCCTATGGGAAAGTTCTAGACTGTACTATAGGATTATAGCAGTCTGAACTGTCTCAATGGTAACAGGATTTTGTTTTATCTCCTTTACACACCTGCCATCTCTGTGTTCCTTCCTACTGCCACTATTATTCTCAGGAGCCCTCGGATACCAAAGACACCAAAGAATGATCCATAGAAAAACTGTTTTTCCCTCAACTGTTAATGACTTAAAAATTAGAAAGCTTATATATAGTTGGAAGCAGCATGAAGAGAGAAGATAATGATTCTTTGATGGATTTCTAGCAGATGGGCAAGTGGGGGAAAAAATACGTGGGTGGAAGGGAATGGAGAGCTCTTCCAAACACATCACACCTAGACAACTGCCTGCAAAATCCATTGCAGCAAGAAAGACATGAAAATGATTGTTTCCCAATACTTTAAAATATCCTCCATAAAGGCAGTATGAAGGAGAAGACATTATTTTGATTTTAGATACAAGAAATCAAACTCCAGAAAAACCACTTTGAGTCCCAGATCAAACTAAAATGGGCACAGCTGAAAGCAAGTCCGTTCTTTTATGCTTCCCTCCAGCTAGCTAGCTCCTGCTTACTTTTTCCTGACTCCCTACACTCACAGCTACCCTGCCTGTTAGTCTCCCACTAAGTTATCCTTTGAAGGTAGGCAGGCTGCTAGGAAAGCAGGAGTGATCGATAGAAATATGTTTCTGTTTATAAAGAATAATTCATACAGGACCTGTCTGTCAAATAGGCACTTCTGTGAAAAGCACTGCAGGGGAAAGGGGGAGAACACAGTAACCAGACCCTTTGGAGCATCACGTCTTTTAACTAGGAGACTGTCCATTTGACATTCCCCTAGATCAGTTAAGGATCAAACGTCACCATGGCTAAGAGGCCTTATCTGAGCAGAAGACGCAGTTTCAGCTCATCCCCAATCACAGCCACATCAGACAGCCACCTTAGTACTTTGGTTTTCTGTTCTTTGATCATCAGCAGCTGATCATACACAACACCCCACAAAGGTGCCACAGACCCTAGCTGGATGATTCTCACTAGTGAAACCTGGTGGAGCCTGAGGGGAATCCTAGAGAGTCATGTTCAATTTTCTATAAGCCAGCTTTGGAAAAATCTCACCACGTTTGGCAGCACAACAATTCTACACATTGACACGCTGCACACCCATTCTATATATGTTCATTCATTCAGCCTGCATGTACTGATGGTTCAGAACCTGTGTTTTCCTTTCCCAACCTAATTTCACCCTTACCTTCTCACCATTCCAGTCTTTTCTTTTTCAAAGCCTCTCCAGCCAGATCCTTCCACCCCTCTCTAATTATAATCGGTGTCTGGTGTGGTGCTGTAGGATAAGCACTCGACCACAAGGTCGGTTTCCACCACGAGGTCAGCAGTTCAAACTCACCAGCAGCTCCTCGGTTCAAACTCACAGGGTTGCTATGATGGTCAGAACCAACTCCACAGCTCTTAACAACAACAACAAATTATAATCAGGTTCTTGATTTGATCCTTAATTGTTCTGAATGTTTTCCTTTGATCAACTTTGTCTTACCAAGAGGACATGAACTGTACGATGTTACATTCTACTCTGTTTCATGCAAAGCCCCACCCAGTGGCATAGTAGTTAAAGCACTTAACTGTTAACTACAGGCAGCTGGAATCTGCCAGTCACTCAGAAGGAGAGAGATGAGGCACTCTGCTTCGGTAAAGATTTACAGCCTTAGAAACCGTATGGGGCAATTCTACTCTGTCCTATAGGGTAGCCCTGAGTCAGAACTGACTTTATGGTAGTGGGTATGGTTTGGTGTCATCACAGAGCTGAACTTAATGAATATTTGTTGACCAGCAGGTTAAAAAATTCTGAAAGAAAAGTGAATGTCTTTTATAAGGAAGAAGAGAGTGATGCTGACTGCAGCCTTTGGAGAGACAAGAAGGGCTTCTTTCTCTGCCTTATTTACCAATGACAATATACCCACATGAACTCAAGCAGAGTAGGGACGACTGCCCGTTTTATTCACTGTTGTGTCTTAAGCACAAAGATTGGTGATCAATATGAGAGGACTTCAAAAAATGTCATGGAAAGATTCCACTATCTTTCAATGCCATTTTTCCATGAACTTTTTGAAACCCCCTCAGATATGGTGGTAGTGGTGGTGGCTGTGTGCCGTGGAGTCAGTTCCAACTCACAGCAACCCTGTACAGGGTTTCCGAAGCTATAAATCTTTATGGGAGCAGAATGCCTCATCTTTCTCCCGCAGAACAGCTGGTAGTTTCGAACTGCTGACCTGCGGTTCGCAGCCCGATTCATACTGTCAAAAGAATAAATGAGTTTATTAGATTTCTTATGGGGTTTTCTAAGCAGTCTAGACATGTGAAGACTTGTGATAAAAGAGGCAAAAAGGAGAAAATAACCCTTTTGCTTCTCTCCACTTAATTTTTTCCACTTTTCTATTTTAAAACAAATAAACAACAAAAAGTTGCAAGTACAGACACACTGCCCAAAGCCCACCCTCTGAATTCCACCAGATGTAGTTGCTGTAGTTATGCAGCATCTACAGCTGATGAAATTTTATAAAATCAATCCCCAAGACATTCAAAAGATGATCACTAAAAATATTTAAATGCTCTCCTTAGAACTGGGGAGAGGGTAGACACATGTTGATTCGGATGATGGGAGAGGAACTAACAAGACAGAGGTTGGCAGAAGACTGGTGAAGGCTCAAGGAGGAATTCAGGGTTAAAAGGTATATAAGAAAGAACTGACACACAACCATACAGCAACAGTGTTCTGCAGGTAGATCCATGGATAGATATGCATGCTGAGCAGGTGTGGGAGAGAGAATGGGGGTGTATCCACTAACATGTAAGGGTCTGACACAGAATGTTTGTACATAGGTATTTACCTTTGCTGTAAACACACCTATGAACATGGTGGAGCATACAGGTGGCAACTGGACGAAAACGTCTTAAACATTACCAAACACCTTGAGACAATGAGGTGTTGGGCCTGCGGGCTCAGGATCTTAGTCTCAAGGATTACCACAGTCAACTGCCATAGCACAGTCCACAAAGACCATGTTTTATATCCTACTTGGGTTTAATTACTGTTGCTAAGTGCCCTCGCTCGAGTCGGTTCCCACTCAGTGACCCTTTATAGGATTCCCAAGGAGTGGCTTGTGGGTCTAAACTGCTGGCCTTGTGATTAACAGTCTAGTGCTGATCCTAAAGAGCCATACCAGGACCCTTGGTGAGTAGCAACTTGGATCTTGAAAGCTTGTGAGTGGCCACCTAAGGTGCTAAGAAAAGAAGGGTGATGAAAATTTAAGATGGTTAGAATCAATTCATTCAGTGGACTGATAGAACATGTGACCATCAGTCTCCATGACTCTGAGATTTGAAGAACTAGATGGTGTCCAGCTATCATCACCAATTG